GAGGAAATCCGATGACTTCTTGCCTCAACGTTGTCCTGTTCTGTTTGTTTTGTAATCTGCATTGCTAATGGTGTTGCATATCGTATTGTGCGCTTCAGTCTTAGTCAGGAGGACCTATCTTTTTGGTTTGATGATCCATCCCCTTGGTTGAGGGATTGACTTCTTGAGGGCTGTCCTGCTGGTTTTGTTGATGTTTGACTCTCTTGTAGTCTGTGGCATGTCTAGTACTCTTTCCTACTTTGGGGTTTTGTCCCTCTAGATTTTCCTTAAGAAGTTTTAATGAGGCCACCTATATACATGTTGATACATCTTGTAACGACTTGATTATCTAATGAAATCTTATCTTCTAAACAAAACAATTTTGAACCATACCTAATCATAAGGTAAAATTAAAGCTCACATATGACTAGCGTTTTACCTAATGAAGAGGTAGACAAATGCAAACTATATACCTGTGTTGGTTGGTGGTAAATGATTGAGCGTACAATCAAGATTAATTGATATGAAAGTTAGTCACATAATCCTCCATAGATCCCGTCAAAATAATAATAATAATAATCCTCCATTGATATGATCTTGAGAGACAAGCCTTGCCAAAACCTTTGCTTACGACAAAATAGTTGAAGCAACTAATGCTTTAAAAATTATTGAGGGATATAGGCAATAATAATATCCATAATCAATTACCTTATAAGTAGAATATCACTTGTATAAAAAAGAAAAATGCAATTTTAAAAAATAAAAAATAAAAAGCTTTTAGTCCTGCGTAGCACGCCTGAAGGCCTCTCACGCATGCAGAGAGGTTAGTGCTTAAAAAGTGTAGGGCAAAACCCAATCTATAGGTTGACTTATCAACACACATTAGCAGTGGTAGACCCACATATGCGCAAGGTGGTGTCGCTGCACCTTCTCTCACCTGAAAATGCACAGAATTTGCCAAACTGCTTGTGCCCATCAAGTTTTGATTAAAAGCCTCAAAGAAGCTGTTTTGTTTCTGTTATGTGGGACCCTAAATATCTACCTAACATTGTTGGGCTCGATCTCACGATCGTGTAGGAGAAAACGGTTCGTGAATTGGACCTCCACAACAAAAGTTATAAATTTGAGAAGATTTGGAATTTTTTCACTTAAGTTGCAGACTAATAAGTTGAAGAAGAAGACGACCGGATGTGTTTGAAGTTAGAATCCCGTGCTTCTCAACTTTAATTCCTTTTTAATATGGTCTACTATCAAGGGGCCATGTGTCAAATTTTAACTAGACTAACTTTTAAAAATTCATTAAAAATTCATTTATGCTCCGAAAAATTCACCAAAAATTACCCCAAACTCGTAATCACATATACTTTCATCTCGTGACCTCCAAATAACATGTACTTTGGGTTAGATTAATGGGTCAGTGGGTTTAGATAGAAATGAAAAAATGTATGTTATTCCTGATAAAGACTACTCATTTTGAGTTGAGTTTTTCTATTTAAACATAGCACTTCTCTTTGTTCAACCCATATTCTAAGTTCACCCCAACTTCTAATTCAAATTTTCACAATTTCCAAAAAAACCCCCACAACCCCCCCAAAACACCCCAAAAAAAACCCCCCAAAAAAAAAAAAAAAAAAAAAAAAAAAAACTCATCAACTTCACACCCCACACCCCCACTATCTTACCCCTCACCACTCTAGGTTCACCTCAACATCACATTACTCAAAGAGATAAAAACACTTGTCAAATGTGTAGAAGCATTATTTTATTATTATTTTGATTACTTTGAAAAAAAAATTGAGAATGAACTAGGAGGGTTTTGATAGAGAATTGTTGACAGTTAAATTGATATGCAAGTTACCATCATCAAACAAATTGACATACTAAGAAATAATCTAGGAGAGGAGTCCCAAACCAAGAAATAATCTCACATTACATACCTCAATTAACGACCCACAAGCCATTATTTGCACATCGTATTTAGGGTTTGTGAAGAGAAGATGAGAGTGTAGTAGGTTTCTTGGATTGAAAGAGAAGAGTAATTTAACAATAGGGTGTAGATGAATTTGTGTTTTTCTAAAACTTCATATGCAGAGTGGTGGGGTGTGTGTATAGATGTACTAGGGTTAAATATTACATTGGATGACCTTTTTTTGTCTTTTTACACAATAATAAAACTTAAGAGGAGCTTAAAATTTTAAGTATTTGGGTGGACAAAGAAAAGTCTTTATAATTAAAGTGTGTGAGCCCTTAGATCAACTTTATTTATTTATTTATTTATTTTAATTTGCCAAAGTTAGGAAGAAAGAGGGGGTTTTCTCACACATATTGACAAACAGGGACGGACCCACAGTGGGGTCAATGGGGTCAAACGACCCTATGGACTCCATGAAAGTAAGCTACAAGGTCCCCTTTGATGGTTGTGTGACCTCATGAATGGCTGAAGGACATGGTTTCTGGTTTGAGGAAGAAGAAGACGCAGAGTGCGTTTCTGTTATTTATTTTTATTTTTTTAACATGCTGGCCAAAACGGCGTCGTTTTGGCCCAACCCCAGCAAATGTTTTTTTAAAAAAGACCTGGCCAAAACAACGTTGTTTTGGTCCAGGTCTTTAAAAAAAAGAGAAAAAAAGAAAAGATTCAAAGAGAACTCTCCCGACTTCAGCATCTCCAATCTAAAACCCCCATTCCTAAACCCTCAAACCTAAATCCCCAATCTCCACCCCTCCAAACCTTTAACTCTGTCCCCCACCAAACCTTTAAGCCCCAGCCCCAGCGCCTCCAAAAAATTGAACTTTTACACTATGACCCTATGAGATAAGATTCCTGGGTCTGTCCTTGTTGACAAAGTGCCATGACTCCATGAGTGGTCGAACCTAAGACCACTCACAAATCAAGGTCTTTTTTCATTGGGACCGTTGGCAATTGTTGATATTTAAACCGATATTAATATCTGTATGTTTTAACCTTATATTGTTATTGTCGTATAATATTTGATACCGTGTGTTCACATACAGGGTGATATCAAAACAGATTTCAATGGGGTACTTTACCATGAGATGACACATACATGGCAGTGGAATGGACAGGGTCAAGCTCCTGTTGGATTGATAGAAGGGATTGCAGACTTTGTGAGGTTGAAGGGGGATTATGTGCCCAATGGATGGGTAAAGTCGGGTGAAGGTTATTCAGTGACTGGAAGGTTCCTGGACTATTGCAATGATCTTCAACAAGGGTTTGTGGCTGAACTGAACAAGAAGATGAGAGATGGCTACAGTGACAACTTCTTTCAGGAGCTGCTTGGGAAGAGAGTTGATCAACTGTGGACCGACTACAAAGCTAAATTTGCAAACTAATTAACCATGTGCACTATAGTTATTAATGTTATGAAAGTCTAGTTCTAATACGAATAAATAAGATGTGGGTTTTGTTTTGTATCCACAGTTGGACTCAAATAAATTAGATATAAAAAAAAGTCCAAATAATTAGTAGAATAATAGTCTATTGGGCATGTAAGCCAAATACAACTACGAGTAAGCCAAAGACTAGTTGTTTGCATATTTGTGAGAGAAAAATTATATTGTTGATGCATAAATATTGGAAAAGTTTTCATTATTTAGACAGTTGTTTTTTTTTTATTAATGCTAAAATAACATGTACTTTTATTTTATCACATTATTTTCATATTGCCGACTTCCATATATGTTTAAGGGAGTTTCACTAAAACACCCAAAATGGAGGTTGAAATTATAAAAAAACCCAACACCCAAAACACTTTATAAACACACCCAAAACCCATCATTACACACACTCAAAACCCATTTATAAACACACCCAAAAAGTTGACTTTGGGGTTAATTTTGGGTGTGTTTCTATGTTTAAATAGTGCTTGGGTTTTTTTATAAATACATGTCTAGGATTGGGTTTATTTATAAATTTGTATATGTTTAATTTCCTCGATCAGTCTCCATCAGCAGATGTAATATCATGAACCTGGAATTTGGACTAGAATATACTTCTGAAATATGGGAGAAAAAAAAAAGCTTTATGTGTGGTGTGGTGGGTTTTAAATCTTTTGTTCCTAGGGGTTTATTTATTTATTTATTTTCAGTACAAGTGATATTCTAAATTATAGGGTGGAGTGGGGGCCTCTCACACACATAACTAAGATGCCATGAGAGTTGAAATCTAAGACCTCTATAGTCTGCAAATCATGGCTATTTTCCACTGTGCTAGACCTCGTTGACTTATGTTGGTTTTGTGTGAGCCCCCTCTTTATGCGATTGAGACGAAAAACTCTCTTTTGAGTTTGTACCTACTTTATATTCACAATTTCTATATTTTATCAGAACATCGATATTTGGAGAATATTTTTCGCATTTTTGAACCCCCCTTATTGCATAGCAGAACCGGCTCACCTGAGGACCGTACTACATATATTGGAAATTTATTTATTTTAGTGATAAATATGGCAATGGTTATATATATCTTGTGTTATAATATAACTGAAATATCGGAATTGCCAATTGTGACTAAATTACTGTTTATGTATCATGAAAATTCTTTTGTAAATTATTTCCTCAACCCTTACACGTCTACCTCCCATAGAAGACTGTTGCCTAATTATTTTATTCTTTCCATAGAACTCTTTTTCTTCCCATGAACTACCTAAAACCCTATTCAACCCTTACACAACTCATTCTTTTTATACCATAGGCGTGCCATCTTTACATGCTGCTTTTTAGATACAATTAAACTTTCTTCCATTCTACCCACTTGTATTTCTTCTTCTTACTTATACCAACATTGTCTTTTCATTTCAACATCAATTATATATATATATATATAGCACAAGGTTTGTAAAGCTTCTTGTTCCAATCTTTGTTTATGTTACTTGAATGACTTTTCGTTGTATTTTGTTTTGTTTTTTCGTTCACATTCGTATAATTAAACAAATTGTTCTTGGTGTGGTACGTATTATCTTGATTTGTTTTAATTAACATAAGTACTTGATATATATATTAGGATGCAGAGGAAGAATAGTGGCACACCAGGAACACAACCAGCATGTGCAGCATGCAAGCATCAAAGGAAAAAGTGTCACGATGGGTGTGTATTGGCTCCAACCCGGGAATTCCTCGCTGTGCACAAAGTTTTCGGGTTAAGCAATGTAATGAAGATGGTGAAGAATGCCAATGAAGCGAATCAGAGAAAGGTGGTTGATTCGTTGGTCTGGGAAGCTCTTTGTAGGCAAAAAGATCCCGTGCTGGGTCCTTACGGGGAGTACAGGATGGTTTTTGATGAGCTAAAGCGATATAAAAACCATGAAATTCAAATGGTTCATCCTTCACAAGTGCAAAAGGGAATGTGTTTTAGTAAATCTTTGTCAGATTTTGTTGGTTGGAATGGTGGAGGAGCTAATGGAATCACTAATCACAACATTAATTTGGGTGGTTATCTTCATGAGAACGAGAATGTGATAATAGATTCAGCCTCATATGGTTATCCTTCAAATTGTGAGTTCCAAAGTCCAGAGAAGATCATAAAGCAAGCAAAACTGGTTGATTCTGTTGTTCTTCCACTAAACCAGCACCAGCAGCGTTCAATCAACAACATTAATCAGCAGTATTATCTTTCAGGTAATTTTCAATTCTTATTTATAATATATATATATAGTACAATTAATATTACTTTAGATTAGGAATGAGGAAGCGGATAATATATGCAGATAAAAACATTTTTGCTTTGCTTGGCTTTGTTTGTTGTATCCCAGATATCCATTCACATCTCTTAACAGGACTTGAATTTTAATCGTGACACCCAAAAGTTATTTTTGTTTACCATTGACATCCATGGCAAACTAGGGTTTACCAAGGCATCATATATAAGAAATTGGAGGCTGAAAATACAAATTATATGGCAATATATTTATTCATAATTAATTTTCTATCCCTTTTGTTTTATTATTATTATTTTTGGGCCAAGTTTTTTTTTTTTAAATTCAAAATTAATGTTGTAATTTATTTGGTGACCTACATAATAATTTTTATTTTTAATTTTTTTTAATTTTTATGTTTCCTTTTGTAGGTCAACTTAATCAAATCATTAGCAAGCCCATAGAAGGCACAATATGGGAAGGAGGGTCATAATACTTTGCATATATGGTGAACTCATTTTTCTTCTGTTTTTCAAGTTACCACCTTCCTTCATCTTGAGCTCGACTGCTTGAGGATAGAACAAAATCTATTATGTTATTTTCTTCTTTTAATCATTCACCTCACCTGTATCAGACATATTTCTCCTGAAGTGATAATTAAACGTTGTTAGCTATATATATAATTACATTCTTGGCCAAAACAAATAAACAATATTGTGTGTACATGTGATATAATATAGGAAGATATATTTTTGTCATGATTGTGAATGTGGACTATTAATTAGGTCAACTGCTGCATGTGTGGTTTATATTCACAATTTAGCAAGAGGACATTACAATACATATAGTGGGAAATGCCTTTTTTATTTTAGAATGTCTGGCAACATAAAATATTTTTGCTTTCAAACTATGAATTTGGATTATTCATCATGTTAATTTTTACTAATGTAAGATCTAGATTCACATTGGGCAACGTAAATATGTGTCTCACAAAGTTATATGTCTAATAAGAGAACGTTATGATATTAATATATTTTAAGGGATTCCTCAAATAAGTTTATTTGAAGAACACTTTTGTAAGGCCCACAACGCATTGTATTTCAATTATTTGAACGGTCTTTAGGGGTCCCCATTTTTGTGAAGAGTGTTGCTAAACAAACACTAAAATTAACTGAGTACACTATATGATCTAAGTACACCATAATATTTTAATCAAATGTAAAATTAACTAAGTACACCCTATTTAACTACCAAAAATACCACTTGTACACCATAATATACACTATCACACAACATCATAATATCACTTTTACACTATAATATCAGTCCTAAGTAGTTAATTCAACAAATGATTGATAGTAGGGGGTGAGTTAATTTCGTCCTAGTTACGGGTAGATTCGATAGCTGAGTGCATCGCAAGTGATTACTTCTCCTTGCAAGCTTTTCCCGTTCTCACAATTCTCTCAATCAAGGCGAGTTCAAACTCTCGCTTTTGGTTTTTTTCCTATGAATTCCAAGTTTCGACGCAAATACATGAATTAGAATTCCCATTTGATGTTAAAAAGGGTAATAAAGGTATTTCATTTGATTAATTAAATTAAAAATTTACAGATGTCCACTTTTGTGTGTGTGTGTGTGTGTGTGTTTTTTTTTTATAGAAATGAAATGGTTTTGAGATTCTTTTATAGTAGTAATGGCCTAAGGCCATGTTTAGTATTCCTAATTGGACTGGATTGGGTTAAATAGCACTCGAAATACTCGTTTTGTAAGAGATGGGACTAACTTAAATGAGACTGTATAGTCCAATATTGAAAAAAAATGCCTCACTCGCACGTCTAATACAATGAGCCTGAAAAGTGGTTTGCTAAATAGCACGCCGCTAAATAGAACATGTGAGTCCGACGTCTCTCTTTAAAAAATATCAGAATTTTATTTGTTTTATTTTAATTATTTGTTTTAGATCTTTGAATGAGTTTTTTTTTTTTTTTGTTTTTGTTTTTTTGCAGCATTTATTTTTTATAGATAAAAATCCTTAATTAAATTTAAATATTACAATAATTATTTTGATATTGCATTTGGAAAATAAAACTATAGTAATTTACAAATGTTTGATTTTTTTTTATATATATATTATGTTGAAACAAGTTTAATAATTCATGATGTGATGCTTTCTTTATCACAAGCAATTTTTACCTTGTCAAATTATATTTTTCAATTTGAAGTTAAAAGTCAAATATACAAAAATTATACATGTACACATATACACACACACACATATATATATATATATATAATTTTTTAAAAATTATTATTGTACTTGGTCCCAGAAAAAACATAAAATTATATAGAGTGAGCTTAGCTCCTTTAACAATGTTTCGACCAACTAAGATTAATCTTGAGAAGCCAAAAAACAAATATCATAATTTTATTCTTCACAAATAAATAAATAAAATTATTTGTTCTCTTTTTATTATTGTTTTAAATCTTTTTCTTTTTTCGCCAGATATTGTTATAAAATTTTGAATTGTTGTAGCACTTATTTGTCTTTTAGGTCAAAAACCCCAATTAAATTTAAATATTATAAGAATTATTTTTTAGTCCGACACAACACCAAACAAAGGTCTTCACTATTTTTACAATCCAGCTTCCTAGTCCAATCCAGCACCAAACGTAGGTCAGTACTTAATCCAGCTTAGGTCAATCCGAGACAATCCCATGATTTAGTCCAGTCTATAACAGTCCACCGTACCAAACGACCCCTAAATGGCTATGGTTATAAATTTCTATAATTTTTTTTATTTTAAGTTTTTTTTAATCACTACTACAACAGGTGAAAAAGACGATCAGAAAACAACAACGCTAGAACAAAAAACCATCGTTGTATTTGAAAAGACGACGGTAATAGAAAACCGTCGTGGATGAACAACTTAAAAGCCTAAAAATGGAGATTCTCATGGATGTTTTTAAAAAACAAAGCACCAAATTAAAAAAGCGTCGTCTTATTGAAAAGGTTTTCCTCAGAGTCAGACTTTGAGCCCAAAAACAACGATAGCAGTTATGAAGCCACCGACGTAGAAAGTAAAGACGACGGTTTTCAACAACAGCCGTCGTGTTTACTCCTAAATAAACACGACCAAATTTTCCTGATCAGCGTCGTATAATTTCAAAAGAATCCACGTCGGTGTATTACAAAACTTCGCCGTATTAAATCAATGTACCAAGAGGGTAAAGATAAATTTATCGACTTTTTATTCACAGTGTACTACGACGGTAACTAATACTCTACTGTTCGGGTAAGTTGTACTAACTGTAAAGATATCAATGGTCCTAGTCTTGCCACATGTCATAAGATTAAAGAGTCAAGTGGTTAAGATGTTCTTAGTCTTGTTAAGCAGTTAGGAAGAACTGTTAGTAATTGATCAGCGAATATTAGAGAGGTTAGAGAGGTTAGAAAACGTGAACAAGGCTTTAACTAAAGCTGATATAAAGTTTGTAATTGTGCTAAGCTTCAGGTTAATGAGAATACAATAATTCTTCTCTTCATTACTCTGAAACTCTCTCTGCTTCTCTTCCTTTCTCTCTGCATTTTCTATTTAATCTTGCTATCTTAACATGGTATCATTCGTCGTGGATCGATCTTGATCTTGTGATCTTCTGCTTCCGCACTCTCTTCCTCTTTGTTTTCTCTCTCTGACTTCGTTCTCTACTCAACCATAGCAGTCAATTTCGTGTTCTTTGCTCTGCCTATTACCTGTTTGATCTTTTGTCTCACTGAAAGTTCTTCTTCAATCTTCATTTCTTTGCAAGTTTCTTCTTTCTCAACCTTCGATTCTCCTCTTTTGATTCTTGAATTATCAACATGGTGACTACTACTCAGCTTCAAATTGTTCAATCTCCTATTACCACTTTGCTTCCTACGGTTTCTACTGCTATGACAATCAAGCTTGATGATACAAATTATCTCACATGGAACTTTCAAATGCAAATTCTTCTTGAGAGTCATGGCATTTTGGGGTTTATTGATGGATCACGGAAGTGTCCTACTCGATTTGATGAGGACTCTAATGTTGAAGGTGTTGAAATTGATGCTTATCAAGTTTGGAAAATGCATGATCGTGCATTGTTGCAGTTGCTTATTGCAACTCTTTCTTCTACTGAGATTTCTTATGTCATTGGATGTATCAGTTCTCATGATATATGGATTCAATTGAAAGATAGATTTTCTACTGTAACCAAAGCTCGAATCTTTCAGATGAAAAGTGAACATCAGACTATCAAGAAGGGTTTAGAACCTATCTCCCAATATCTACAAAGGATAAAAGATGCTCGAGATCATCTTTCTGCAGCAGGGGTTTCTTTTGAGGATGATGATATTGTGATCTTGGCTCTCAATGGTCTTCCTTCTAACTATAATACATTTCGGTGCATGGTTCGAGACAGAGAAAATATGATCTCTTAAAGATTTTTGATCTCAATTGATTGCTGAAGAAGCCACTCTTGAACAAACTAACTCTGCACCTCTTTTTGTCTCTGCAATGTGTTGAGGCCCAAAAATCCAAGGTTGGGCCCAAATAAATTCTTGGCCCAACATAATGCCTTATTAAGAAAAAGACTCGGTTCGGAGCATGCAAAATTCCTCATTCATGCTTGCACAAGCCATGACCACATGTCATGCCAAATAAATATGCAATCTCTCACGCTAAGAGTTGAAATAAGCACTGACTCTACGAGCCCATGCTAATTACCCCATCAAGCATCATGCCTCTATTCAAGGACGGTAAAATTAAAACACGCCGATTGACATGCCAAGCCAAGCATGAAATTATTATTTCACACCCAACCACGTTACAAGCTTAAGTGGGCCCAAGCCACGCAAATGCCCGGGGCTTGCTTGAGTGGGTTGTGGTATGGATGATAACAAGCTTTCATGAGTGAAACGATCCGACCCAAATTCCACTTTGAGATCCGGGTCGAATCCTGTTTAAAACTGACACCTGGTAACTATGGGTCGTAACTGACCAAAATGCCCTGAAAACAGTAACATAAACCCTGAGCCCCTAACTTCTGGCTGTGCCTGATAACTGTAGGCTGCCTGCGTACCCTTACTGAGGGATCAAGCCACACGTAGTTCTTTCCTCTGTTCCTGACCTGTAACTGAACTGTTTACAGTAAAACTGCTCTAGGGCTGACCATTCTGGAGTATCCGGGACTCCGTTTTACGATATGTCAACTACTATACGATCCTGGGAAAGTCTAGATTAACATACTTGGAATTAACTACGATCTAACGGTTCAAACGTATTGAACCCGGAAATCGCACAGTAGGCGAGACCCGTTCGGGGTTCAAACGATATCCGACTTAAGATCCGCGAAATCCTACGCGCTCGTGAGGACTAGGAGATCATTCTAGGACTGACTGTGGTCTCCACCCTACTGCTCACGCGCCGCCCACGCGCCGGTAGCGCGTGTTGCCTAAAGCGATAATGCTTCGCC